GGGGCTCGAACTCACGGACCGCGAGATCGTGACCTGGCTGAAGTCGGACGCTTAACCGACTGCGCCACCCAGGCGCCCCCAAACTGGCCTTTTTAAAACACAGTGAAGGACTTTGTGGTAAACCCCCGTATGTGAAAAATTCGGGTTTATCAGAAGTCCAAATTCTGGTACTTTTAGAAAAACAGAGGGTGTTGGGTGGGGTCTACTCCCTGGTTGAGGTTAAGCGACTGCATTTGATGAAAAGATGCTAAGGCACAGAATGTGGCCCCTGTACAACATGAGCTTTTGATGTCGAAGTCTCCCCAGCCTCTCTCAGACCCATCCCACCTGGCTTGTAGCTGACACTTCCTTCCATTGACCCCAACCAAGCCCCATGGGCCTCATTGACATCTTGTCACTGCACACATCCTCGGTGCAAGGCTGGCCTGGCGTCTAGGGTCTGTCTCACTAGCGTCTAAGCGGTCTTTCTAGCCTTCTCTTGTAGCCATTCTTGTAGCCATGCAAGTTTCTGTAGGTGAATTCAATATACTCTTCCCCTGCACATGTACTTGGTCAGGATATTCCCCGCCCCTCCTCCACCCCATCGGTCTGGGTAATCCTTCAGGGCTGATTGCCCTGGAGCTCACCCCCCTCAGACATGTGCAGGTACACCTCTTCTTTGGTATTACTGGTCACGTCTACTCCTCCCTAGATTGTAATCTTTAAGGCATGGGCTATCTTGTTTGACTTCGCATCCCCAGCACGCTGCACAGAGCTGGCGTACAACAGGGGCAGGCCGTGTCCGAGGGGAATTTTGTCTGCTTGAGCCCACTGTTTGTCAAGAGGAGGCCAGGAGAACCACCGAGCTCTCTCAAAGCCTGAAGTGGAGAGTCACACTGAAATAGAGTAGGGCCTCAGGACCTCCTTTGCTGTGCCTAGAGAGTTTGTTCCCAACAGGTTCTACCCAATTAGGAAGGTGGTTCAGTTACTCTGGGCGACCGAGCCAAAGGAGATCATCTCTTAGCTGTGGAGGAAGACCTCTAGCGCCAGGCAGAAGAGATTGCCAGGCTTCTGCCCTGGGAACGCCTTCCTCTGTTGACTGCAGAAGTTGGTAGTCAGGAAAGCATGGCCCTTGACAGGGCTGTCCAGGGTGCCTGTCTCCAGGCTGGGGATGTGGCAGCAGCCGCTGGGCTCCCAAAGCTCTGTTCTCTATTAGGGCTCAGCTTTTTTCATTCCCTGGCACTGGGATTCAGCACCCAGCTGACTGAATTCAAGGGATGGATACATGGTTCTGATCTACTCTGGCAGTGCTTTATCTTCAGATGCCAGGACGTTAGATATAATGTATATATACCACACTCAAGTTCCTCAAACGCTTTAGAAAGGGGAAGAAAGTAAATGCCCATTTGCTGGGGGATGGTCAACAGAAAATCTCAACTTACCCTATAAACCAAACTCGTAAAAGGGGATTCCTTCATAAAGTCTGCAGTCTGGTTTCCTGAGCCTCTCCAGGCCCTGGGTGCAGGGAGCAGCATTCTGTTCTTAAGACCTTTCTGTGTGTTCTGTGCTAATGGCTCAATAGTTAACCATGATTATACTTGGCTCCTCCTTCCAGGCTATTCCACTGTCCTGGGTGATATGTGGTTTCTCTTTCCTTTGACTTGTGTTCACGTATAAATTAGTACCTGATTCTATTTCCAGACCTACCTGGTGGTTCTGTGCCTTCCCCTACTCTCTTCTCATCTTCGTGTACGACGAAGTCCGAAAACTCATCATCAGGCGACGCCCTGGCGGTAATTTCATCTTACCTTCAGCAGGGTTGTGGGAGAGGCGGTATTTCTGTGTCTTTTATTTCCTCTGAAGTGTCTGGGCTCGGCCCAGGCCATTGGACCAGCCAACTGCAAACTGCCCAACGCTACAGTCCCATCCTCACGATCTCCACTGAGGTTTCAGAACCGATCGTATTTTAGACTACAAACCAAATACGATCCAGTGGAAAGTTGGGCAGAAACCTAAACCATCTTCCCAATTAACATGTTCTTTCTAAAAACAAAGAAAGAGAGTTGAGGTCTAATGCCGAATTTGAGTGACCCCCCCACCCCCACCCCCGAGCTTCGTCACCCACCCCCAGGTCACTCCTCGACACTCTTTCTCCCACTGTGCCCTAGAGCCAGGACTTACTGCAAGTGTCTTGTCTCTCTTTGCTGCCTATAGGCTGGGTAGAGAAGGAAACCTACTACTAGGCCCCCCCGTGTCCTGCACGCCGTGGAGCATCCTACCACGCACCTGCACCCACCCCCCACGCCCTCTTTGTGTACTTCAGTCTTGGAATTCGGAACTCTACCCTGGTAGGAAAGCACCGAAGCATGTGGGGGAAGCGAGACGTCCCGGAATGAAGCATGTAGCTATACGGGGGGGAGGGGGGAGGGCTGCCTGACAAACACCGTCTATGGGAATGACAGCGGGGAAGGTTTTTATGTGCCTTTTTGTTTTTGTAAAAAGGAAAACTTGGAAAGACTGAAAGAATACATTTTATATCTGGATTTTTACAAATAAAGATGGCTATTATAACGGAATCGATCTTGTGCCCTCATCACCTTCGTGGCCCTGATGTCAGAGTGTGGTTCTCTGCGCGCATCCCTGTACTGGCTGCTTCAACAGCCCGGAACTTGTTGGCACGGCAAACCCAGACCCCCCCCCGAACCAAAGCTAACCAGTCCTCTGGTTGTATAAAAGCTCTCTAGGCGATTCTGAGTCCCATTCAAGTTTGAGAACTGTTGAGGGGTAACTTTGTGCCCTGGCTCTTTTGTTCTGAGTAGATACATTTGTGGACTTACCTCAGGGTGAGTGGTGTGGCTGCAACTCCAGCTGTCTCACATCTGCTCCTTGACGGAGGCACATGTCCTGTGAAGGATTCAGTGCCTTAGTACCATACCCTCTTGTCAAGCTGGCACAGCCCCCGGGTCCCCACCACGGCAGCCTCCAGTGTCTCTAGACCAAGGTCTGAGAAGTAGGCCTACACGGTCTCGTGGCCCGTGTATCACAAAGCGCTTCCCTATCACATAGCTCGTTCCTAATGTAGCATCAGACAGCTCCATTGCAGAAAGAGCTTCGGTGCCAGAAGGCACTTAAAGAAAAAGGTAAGAGAGACCTGTTTACATCAGGGTCAAGTCTGAGAACACCTGTTCTCAAAGCGTGAGTGTAACCCCCCTCCCTTCCCCCCAGCCCTCGGTCTCAGGGCTCAGCACTCCAGTGTGCCTGCTGTCACCTAGCCATGCTCCAAGGCTGTCCCTGCTTCAAGCAGATACAATAGAGTCCTTACTTCTGGCACCCGAGTACGTCGACAGGCAGGCAGAGAAGGAGTTCAAGTATTTTTTTTTTCTCTCTGAAAGCTTAAGGCATTGCTCATGCCTCTTGACTGCAGCTCACTTCCAAGCTGTACCGATGGGAGAGGAAGGGAACCAGCGAATTCCCGCATACTGGCTGTCATCGGCTGTCCCCTCTCCAGCTGGAGGAACTGGGAGGGCTGACCTTAGTCTAACCAGTTCTAACCTCCTCTCTCGGGGACACTTTCCCCTGGGATGATCTCTGCACTTGTAAGCAAGTCAGTTTTTAATTTTTTGCTTTTAGAGAGAGTGTGAGTGGGGGTGGGGGGGGGAGGGGGAGGGAGAGAGACAAGCTCCAAGTTCAGCGCGGAGCCCGACGCAGACCTCAATCCCGCCACCCCGGAATCGTGACCTGAGCCGAAATCAAGTCGATACTCCACTGAGCCTATCAGATGCCCCAGCAAATCATCTTTCAAAATAGCCATCTGCTCGCCCAACATGGAAACTAGGATGAAGCTAACAAAGTCCTCAGGATTATGAGTCCAGGAGACGGGTGGTAACTGGCCACTCGAGGACACCTTGCCCTTCACTGCTACGATGGCCCTCATGAGCACCCAACCCCCTCCCCATGCTTCAACCGGCACAGCCCTGTCAGATTTGCTGTCCCCACCCCTACTGCCCCTGTGTCTGCTCTCTGGCACCCCTGGAGGGTTGACCAGTGAACCCAACACCACTACAACGAAGGTCATGGGTACTCCCAAAGAGCTCGAAGCAGCCTGACACGGTAGAGTCAGGGTCAGGGGGTGGGGTGACCCCAGGGAGATTCCAGGCCAGGCTTCTCACCACGCTAAGCGGCCCTCGACTTCGAAACACCTGGAGGAAGGGTGGGGCAGGACAAGGGGAGTCTCCGAACCTCCCACCCCCTTCCCACCAGAACATTTCCACCTTCGGACAATCACTGAATAACCAGTTGTACAGCCAAAAGTTTGCTCCAGAGGAAGCAGCTAAGTGACGGGTAAAACTGGTACCAGAACCAGGCCTCCTGATGGGTCAGATGTTTCCAAGCTTTCTAAAAGACTCAACGCCTGGGCTCATTTCTGCTTTGCACTCCAATTCTCACTTTAGCCCTCTCGGTAGTGGCTAAGTATGGCTCCAGAACAAGGACAAACAGCTGAGGGATGCTGACCCCAGAGACGGTGCACCCCCACAAATCTGCAACACAGCCATCCTGACCAGCCTCCTCCCTCTACTCGCTCACCTAATCATCCCTCCGCCGCCTCCCGGCTCCTGTTAATAACACCAGTCCACTGATAACTGTCGTCTCTGACCTGATTCCCGGTCCTTGGCTTCTACAGCACGTGTGTCTCCATCACCCCCTTGCCCAAACCGGACCCATCATCTCTACCATCATCATGGCTGCCCACTCCTTAGCCTTCTGCCTCCTCCTCACCTGCTCCTTGGCTGTTCGTTTCCTCAGGGGGGTCCCCATGCCTTTCCCTCTGCCCGCTTCCTATTCTTGTGTGTTTCACAACACAACACCCACAATGCTTTCCTCTCTTCTGAGCCCCCAGACCCGTGAATCCAGTTGTCTACTGGACATCTGTATTTGCCCACAAAGCACAACACGCTAGTCTCAAAATGAACATAGTCTAGGCAAGGACATCTATCGCCCCGTTGCCCAAATCAGAAAGCCGGAAGTCACGTGAGGTTTCTGTCTCCCTTACCTTGCTGTGGCCCCTGCCACCATGCAATCGCCACTCAGTTCCAGTGTGGCTGACAACAGGCTTTGGGTCTTATCCTAGGCACACTTACTGACCATGGGTACAGAATTTTGCCTCTCAGCGCTTCCTTTAGAATCCCAATGACATTTGAGAATTGTTGAAAGCACGGAGGTTATATGTAAAGAGATTGGCACGGTGGCTGGTCCTCGATAAAACCCTTTCTCTTCTGGCACTGCCCTTCACTTCTGGACACCCGCAAGAGCTCCTGGCCGGTCCCCTGACTCTCAGCCTTCAGTCCAGTGCTTCTCTAAATGTGGTCTCTGGACCAGTATCTCCCGGGGAACTTGACGGCAATGCACCTTCTGATGCGCACCGACTGAATCTGAAACTGGAGGCGGGACACAGCAATCTGCTTCAAGGAGCCTTCCAGGTGATTCTGATGCATGTCAAAATCTGAGAAGCATTGCTCAATCCCACCTTCCAAGCCCTGCGTGGCTGCCTCTCTCACCATCCACGCCTTCACCCTTGACTCCAGCACAGAAACCTATCTCTGCTCAGCCGTTCAGGCTCCCAGGAAGTCCCTTTTGTGCTACATACCGCCTCCCCCCGCCGTCCTACAAGTCCCCCTGGCAAGCCACCCGCGTGGGCCCAACCTGCATTCCCCCGGCTGACTGACTCAACTCTCCGGCTACCATTCAGGCCTCTCCTCCTTGGGAAAGGCTCAGTGGGCCCTCGTGTTTTCACACCTTCTAGCACCTACGCCTATTTATTAGTGTGTTCCCTGATAAACTACGAGTTCCTGAGCACGCAGCCCAGGCCATACCCTCCCCAACATCTGGCACGTTGAGTACTCGTTGAATGAATGAATGCTCATTACCAGAGCTTTTCCATATTTTTTAACACTTCACCCTCACCCTGCATTTCAGTTTCTTGAATCAGGGCTGACGCTTCACCCAAGGGAAATGTATACCCAGGTCTGCAGGAGCCTATGAATTTGCCAGTCTCCTAAAACTTTGAGGCTGAAATTCAGAGAGTATTCAGGAGCCATTCATGGAATCAGGATGTGAAGAAGTTTGGTGGGAGACCATGGCAAGTGATGATAGAAGGCAAAGAGATGTACAAACAGAGGCACCAAGGTGGACACAAGTCCTTGGATGTGCCTGCGTCCCAGAGCTTTTGAATCACTGTCTTGGGCCTCCAACGAGCTCATTGAAACCCCCCACCCCACTGCAACCCCCTACTAGGTTGTCACCTCCTATTAGATAGCTGGTTACTTAGTACCCCTTCACAGAAGTCACAATTCTGTCATTCAATTATGCAATCATTAATATCCATTTTCCCCTGCTAACCTGTAAGTTCTGTGAGGTCCAGGAGCCTGTCTTTTCTGTTTTCCCCGTCATGTTCAGCCCAGCGCCTTCAGAAGAGAAGTTGGCACTTTAGCACAGTGGCCAATACTCCCTAAGGAGAAAGGCGGGCTCCACTTCAAGATGGCATCATAGGAAGATCCTGAACTCACCTCCTTCCATGGACACACCAAATCTACGGCTGCATATGGAACAGCTTCCTCTGGGAAAAAAACCTACAAAGAAGCAGAATGATGCCTACACATCAGGCAAACAAGAAAAACCCAACACTGAAGCACGTAGGAGAGGTGGAAACACAACCCTTCCAGAAACTCCAACCCTGGCATGACTGCCACAACGGAACTCAAAACCTGGAGCTTTTTACTACCCCTGGGGAGCAAAGGTTTCGTCCTCCACAGTGGGCACTCCACCTTCACCTGAGAGACAAGCCCCTAAAACATTTAGCTTTGGAAACCAATGGGGTTTACGTCTGTCATGCCCATAATGGTACAGCAAACTGAAAACAGCTGTAAAAAAAAAAAAAAGTTTATGAGAGCAGAGAGAGAGAATCCTAAGTAGGTTCCACGCTGTCGGTGCAAGAGCCAGTTGTGGGGCTTGAACCCACAAACGGTGAGATCATGACCCGAGCCAGAATCAAGAGTCAGACGCTCAACCGACTGAGCCACCCAGGCGCCCCTAAACAAGCGCATTTACAAAGCTTGTGCACAGTCTTACTTTGCCTGGGGAGCAGCACAGAAGCAGCCAGTTGAGAGGAACCCAGACTTTATGTGAAAGAGGTTTGTTTGCTGATCTTAAGGCATCAACTGAGGGGCAAGCTTCTAATGAAGCACACAGTCAAGACCCTACGGTCCTCCTTTCCGGAGCCCACAGAAGGTGGGCGCTATCTTCTCGCTTTCCCTCTGCCACACTCCACGGTGCCAGTATCTCCTGGAGAGGAGCTTGTACATGCATCTGGTGCCCCAGCTTTCATGGCTTCCCCCCCAGGAGATGCTCCTGGATTGCCTAGTCCTAGGTGAGCAGCAGGGCTTGCATTCTGGGATTCTAGGGGACTAGAACAATTCAGGGGCTTGTTCTTGGCTGTTTATCACCTCCAGGGCACTGCACAGACAGCAGACTGAGAGACGCACCAAGTCTCTTTGTGAGAGACCTATCTGCTTGTCCAAGAGCCTCAGCTACAAGAGCAGGCTTCGGGTTTGGTACACAGCCGAGATGCACTCTGGGGATGGAGGCCACTGGACGCCATCTTTGCACTGTCCTTCTGCCTGGCTCCAGATCGCCAGCATCTCCCAGAAAGGAACTTGGACTCTCGTCTGACACCCTAATTTCTG